ATAACAATGGAGTGGCCAAGCAGCTGCTGTTTTATCACCACCCTATTTTGAAATCCAAAAGCCTTCTGTTTTTATATAGCACTCTTTCTCCCTTTCATCCTTGTTCACACACATGCGCATAGACACAGCACATTTAAAGATAAAGAGAAGGGCACATTCATACTATTGGTGTAGAGGTCCATTTAGACCCCAGGTACTTTGTTTTATGAAGTAACATCAGCTAAGAATGCAGATTAAGGTTATCACAGGCTTTTGTTATCTTTAAAGGAAGTAGCCAGGAGGTGGTTCTGGTTCCTTTCTTATTCTGCATTAACCTGCTGCTGCAAGGAAGACCCAAGTAAGGATCTGCACGAAGCCGGCCCTGTTATTTTCACTGACTTTTGTGTGGAGTAGGGGGAAGCTCATGCAGGTGGAGAGGACATGACTCTTTTGACTTTACTTAAACCAATACAGAGTTGTTGTTTTCAACTCAACCCAGACTGCAAACAATTACATCTCCATCTCTCCCTCCATCTTCCACTGAGCATTCTCTGCAGGATGCTCCCGGAAGTTGTTAGCAGAAACCATTAACAATGGCGGCACCCAATGTTCTCACTGGGAAATTGTCTATAAATGTTTTGACGAAGGGAAAACATGTTTGTCCCAGTCTTAATGTATTATCTATTGCATTTTTTCATACTTAAGTGTTATGGAATATCAAACAAATGTAAATGCTCGTCCAAAACAATGCAAGATCTATGGGCAACAAGTCTGTCAGAGGGCTACATGTTTTAAATTAAAGTTTTTATCATTAAGAGAAATAAAACACTGGTGATCCCCACTAAAACCAATTCAATCCACTCAACTACTGTATTAAACCAGTAAGAAAATAAATGTCATTGTAACTCTTAACATTTGCGTTTAAGTATGTTTTTGCAGATATTATTAATGGAATCTATAATCAGGAAAGTTCTCCTGTAGTGGTCTGTTTTGTTCTGGAAAAGGCTTTGAGAGGACACTCTGTTGTTGTTCAACAGTGTTCTGAAGAGGATGCTAAAGGGGTTTCCCCAATGCTCTTCAATTTATTAAGAATTTTTCTTTGTAAAATCATTTTCAGAGGTTCCAGAGGAGTTCCCAGAACAGAACTGGCCTTTGTTATTAGCTTTTCATGACTCTTTTTGTCATTGGATCTGATGCCACTAGCCCAACAAGCGATGGCACAAGTTCACGCTCTTCACAACAGAATCTGAGAAGGTATGTAGCATCTTGCTACAAATACTAAAGGTGCTATACTTCCTCAGTGAGTACAGTCTGTTCTGTTTCTTCTTGTGAATGACTTACAGTTAATAGATTAAGTTGCAGTTTACTAGTGCTGTACATAACTCCAAATTTATCTATAAAGCACTTTCATCACCCAACAGGACCAAAGTGCTATACACAGCAAGAAAATACAAATAATCAATCATAGAAACAATAAATAAAGTGGTGTATAAAATAAGTGATAAAATAATAAGCAATAATAAAATAATAAAAGAAACACAGTAAGACTAAGTCAATATCTCAGATTCTGTATAAAAGCCAAGGAAAGGAAATGGGTCTTAAGACAAGATTTAAAATCAAGAAGTAAAGAGGCTTGTCTAATGGCCAAGAGGAGGTCATTCAACAGCTTAAGGGCGGCAACAGAAAAAGCATGGTCTCCTCTGAACTGGAGTAAACAACTGAAGCTGAAAAATATTGAGTACTTTATAAGGAAATTTCCTGAATGACACATAATTAGCTTCTTCCTAACTCTTCTGAAATCTACAATAATCTCCCTTGATTTTGTGAAATTCGTAAAATTATTTTTTTCTACATCATGCTATTAGCCAGCTCACTGTACTCACCCTCTTGCCTCTTTCTGATTAACAAAGGTTCCAGGTATATCTAAAGATGACAGGAATGTGTATTTTTAGTAAAAGTCAGAGGTGTACAAAGGAAGAAATAGTGAAAGAGAAATGTCCCTTTTCATGCTTCTCTGCTGCCGACTACCTGATTGGACACCTGACCCTTCAGTCTCACAAACTGTGGTGTGTCTTTCAGGTTCATATGATTGATGAGGTCTTCATTTTGTCTTACCATGAGTACCCCTCTAAGTCAAGAGTATTGAAAATTGTCCAAAAGTGGAAGGTACAATAAAATAAAAACTATTTTACTAAATCTTTTAACGTGAGCATTTAATCCTTAGGGTTAGGATTTATTCTTTCCATCTCAAATAAAAAGACAATATAAATATCTTGCTTGGAAGTTAGTAAGGAATCAAAATAAATACAAATAAAAAAATTTTTATTATAAACCTGCATCTATAAAACTGGAGTTCCTTATAATTTGATTATTAGTCCCTTATAATCAGATTAAAATTTGATGAACTGGGAATAAAATACAGAACAAAATTTGTAGTTATACTGAATTAATTAATTTCATTTTTTTTTATCAAGAAACCTTAATTTGATGAGCTCCAATAGCTCAGTGTTTTAAAACAGCTGATACCAGGCTGTTCTCTACATACAGTCTGTTCCTCAGCCTCGTTTTGGTGAACTCAAACATATAAGAAAAACATATAGTGTGGCGGACCACTAGGGGGCTCCACTCTCACTCAGTGGAGAGGTTACAGTTATGTTTGTTAGGATGTGTATATATATGGATTTTCTGTACAGTTGCTCTCAGTTGGAGTAGAGTAAAGAACTGTTTACCTGCCTGCTTTGTGTCGTCATCTTCACTCCTCCACAATAGGAACAAAAATGTTTGGCTGATAAAGGCATGTTAAATTTTTCATTTGGGTCCTTAGAAAGTAAAACCTATCTAGCCCTGTTTTATTGTAATACCTAAGAAATCAAATATTGTAATGCACTCCCAGACCACTAGGGGTACGCGTACCCCCAGTTGGGAATCGCTGCTTTAGATCATTGTCCTGCTTCAGAACCCAATTTAGTTTCAGCTCGATTTCTTAAACAGTAGACAGCAGAACCCATGGGTCAGTTTATGACAGCAAGTCTTTATTCTGAAGTAGCACAACAACCCCAGACCATCACACTACAACCATCCAGACTAAGCCTTATTTGGGTGAATATGAAAAGCTTCTTGGTCAGATATGGGGTCCTATCCAGATGAAGTGGCTCCAAAACTAACACCAATTGAAACTTGTTAGCAGAGTGGATACGTTTGAAGGCGCACCATGGTGTCCCCTTCAGGATACCTCTAACCACACCAATGGCTACACTGCATGTTAAAGATTGGCCCACATTCATATTGCAAACAATACAATGCTTAAACAACTACAACAGCTGCCTTTAGAATTTCAGTTCTGTTTTAGAATCTATGTTTCAGAAACTATTGAATTTTCTTTACTTGTGTGGCAGCGTTAGCACACCATCCACTGAAATAGCAATAAATGGTGTCCTAGTGCAGCTCCAATTACTGGGAGGAACACTATATATCTCTGGTTCTCTCAGTAGGTAACCGCTAGATTCATGAAAGCCATTTATGTGAGTAGACCATCCAGCATTCCTTGTTTTGAAATCCTGATACTGAAATCTCTCCCTGCCTGTCTTGCCCTTGTTGGATACCATTGTTAGCTTCGGGCCTCTGGACACTGACCTCCTGCCCTGTCTCTTGACCCACTTTTTCTTTTTTGCCTCTGTCCCTCTGGAAACTCTACCTGCTTAGTGCACCTTGTGTTACCAACTCTCTCGTCTCAATCCCAGATCCCTCTTGATCAGCGCTTCTGCAAACCTCTGCCGTGTGGATTGCTTCCTACAGGGCAGAGGTTTACCTACAAACTGACTACAACTTTCCTTTAGCTTGTGTAGCACCATCAGGATTTGGATCAGTGAAACAGTGATCTGATTCATCGAAATGGATCTGCTGGGATCTATCTTAAAAGCCAGTGGAATCTGCCGGCATCTGAGAGAGTTACTGGCTTTCCTTTTTTGCATGGTCAACATCACTGAGTTGTTCTCTGGCACTAACCGGCCCTCCTCCCCATAGTGATTCCAGTTCCAAGCAGTTCCTGTTCCAGTAACACCAGTTTAGTTATTAATAAACAGTTTTGTTATGTGTATTCCTTTGTGTCAGTTAAATTATCAGGTCTCCAGATTTTGTCCAGCCATTACAGGTTCATTATTTTATTTATTTATTTATTTTGCTGTATCATTAGACAAAAGCACACAATTTCCTAAAGACAAATACCCAAAGTCACCATGACAATGCAATGACCCAAAAATCCCACAGCACCAAATGTCAGGCTTTTATACAAACCTAGAAAGCACACTGAGTAAACAGTTGTTTGCCTATCCAGTAACCAAAGGAAAGAGAGCAATTTTTCAGTGTTTGATGTTCACATTTTCCCCCACCTTTGTCTCCTCCTGTGAGATATTAGAACAAAGGGTGGTTGCAACAGAGTTTGATCCATCCATCACTGAAACCAAACCAGCACGCTTATTTAGTAATAACACAGGGGAAGGTGTTGCTTTAAGTGTCCTGGCTGATAGGAGTCTTTGGTTTGGAATCAAAAGACATGTGCTTTATAAAAGAGATGCCTTTAGCTTTTATTCATGCTATTGTTCCAGTCACATTTACTACATATACCACTTCTCACACTCAGCACAGCACAGAAAAAACTGGAGTCAACATACGCCGTTTCAGGAGTCTCTTTGGTGTAGGTTGAAAGGCATAAACTAAAATATAGTATGTTCATTTCAAATGTGAAATATGAAAGTATTCATGGGTTTTTTAGGAGGCAGCTCAATCTACAGCAAACTCTGTCAGAGGAGAACTGACGCACAATAGTCGTCTCACTGAGCACGCCTGACTCGCCTGACACCTTCCTGACAAGAATAAACAGTCTCTGTCATGTGTACATTAAGGTTGACCTTTCCATCTGAAGTGATCACTGAAGAGTTTTCTTCCTCACATCTCTGCAATCCCTGCCTCCCAGACTTCAAATGTTACATTCAAGATGCTTTCCTTCAGGGATGCTTCCTTACCTCGTTCTGAAGTTAGCTGGTTGTGGATGCCCGTCATATAAAGATAAAAAGTCATATTCCTCCTCAACGGCGAAAGATTGAAAAACTATATGAATCCTGTTCCCCTTCTCGGCAACAATCACCCAGGTACAGTTTGCTCCATTTGGATATCCATAAGGAAATCCTGGGCTTTCTATAGTCCCATTCCATCCTTTTAGTGTGCCACCACAAGTATGGATAAAACCTGGAGAGAAAGAGAAAACATTAGGTTATTACTGTATAATAACAACAGATTCAACACATTACCTTTCTTTAATTAAACGGCCTGTTATATAAAAAAAAAATGCATCAATTTTTACATGCATTGTAAAACAAGGTTTCATTCAGCCAATTGCCTACACCATGTAAAGTTCAGGTGCAATATTTCTTCAACCAGGAGCAAATTAATCACAAAATCCACACTGCTCTCAGCTGGCAGAAGCTGTGAGGAGAATCTGGCAACCAGTTGAGAGCCAGCCAAGTTTTGTATTTCCACTTACATTCTCTTCTCTCCCTTCAAATTAAAAAGGAAAAAGACGGAACACCTGCTGGTGTGATAATGTGAGAAAGATGCATAATTATAGATATTTTTTTCTACTGTACTTTATAAAACAAAAGGGTCTAGATAAATTATTTCAACTCTTTTTTTTCTGCGGGATATCTGAAAGCTCCAGAGAGATGCAACAAACTGGGCTTTTCAATTTGCTTCCAGAAGCTGTTAACACTTCGCCTACCAGACTCGGGGCTTCTCTGCACCTTTAATGCACTAGCTTGCTGAAAATCAATAACCTCATACGCATTAGGTTGGACATTATACAATCACTGTCAAACTTCACTAATCTGAGTGCTTGGCTAACCAGTTGGAGAATGATGGAAATGTGCACAAGTGTTAAGCAACCTAAATACATGAACACATATGTCTACAGTGTCTCTATTAATTTTCTTTTGCTAATAGAACTTCAAATTTAGTGTCTAAACATAATTTTTGAAATGTCTCAAAAAATGAAAATTTGATGAGCATTTTTTCGTTTAATCCTTTTGAGTTAGTACTTTATAAAACAGCCTAATTGCAGCCCCAGTGCATCTAGAGACAGCCTTTAACAGGTAGTCTTCCAGGACTGCTCTGTATTTAACTCCATTTATTTCCCCATCAGCTCTGATCAGCATTCCTGTTGCTGATAAAGAGAACATGGGTACATCATGATGCTACTATCAGCATGCTCCCCTTTTGGAATGTTGTGTTCAGGGTGACATTCAGAGTTATATTTTTACCACAGAGCATTTTACAAGCTTTTAGCAGACTTCAGGATTTTTAAGCTTTACTGATTTTATAGCTTTTAGTCTTATTGATAGTTTTCCTTTCAACAGATTATTTCTTCTTAGCTGCAGATATTTGCAGTTTTTTGAGTTAGCTTCAGGGTTCTTTGCTACATCTCTGACTAATGCCACTTCTCGATTTTCAGATGAACTGCCAAATTGGCAAGTGTTGCCAAGTAGTTGTATGTTTGGAACATTGCCATTAAACCTAATAATATTTCAAATATGTCCAGAAATATCTCCTCCTCTTTCTATTTGGGGTGTCCCCTAGTTTCTATGATTTTGTATGTTTTGTAATTACCTCCCTATACCTTCTTACAATTGAAACAGTGACATCAGAAATCATTGATTAAGTGACCCCTGAAGTTATTAGTTGCACTGACTGTTAATTATCAAAAATTATCAGGAATCAAATAAAAAGTGGTTAGGGTAAAAATACTAATACACACAAACATAAAATTAAATGAATATTTTTTCCATCCACTGCACAATTATTAATTATTTTGAAAATTCAAATGAGTCACAGAGACATTTGTGTTTGTAAACTAACCAAATGTGGAAAAAGATAAGAACAGTTTTGCTAGGAAATATCTCTCAAAAATCCTACTTCCCTCAACTTCCACATCCATTATACTGACACATTAAGCCAAACAATACACTGACATGCTCCCATAGACACAGCGTCAAAGTGCAAAAACTGTGCACTGTTTTTTATCTAAGTCTATCTTGCATGTTGTCTCATGAAATCCAAGCTTAATTAAGATGCATGGGTTCGCCGGCACAATTTTCTCCTTGTGTAATTAGCTTTTCACACATGGAAGGTTAAAGATGTTTTGCTTAGAGTTGGCCAAACACACACACACTGTAGTATGGGGGGGTTGGAATCACTGATCACTTCGCTGTTATGCAACTAAAACTGTCACTAACTTGACAGATGGTAGCATAAACATGAAAACGTGCATTCTGCTAATTGATAACAATAAATATTATTAATCTTTGTTAATATGGGATAAACTTAGTACGGGAATTTGACTAGCTGTTCAATTAAACCTTTATTAAGAGTTGTTTTTTTTCTTTCTTTCCTTTAAAAACTAAAACAAAATTCACATGTGACCCCTGTGAGTCAAGCTATTACAAGATTGACTCACAGGGGTCTTGACCCAGAATCTACGGTAGAATAAAGTAAACCTCCATCTGTTGTTTAGATTGTTGCTACTATCTGCATACTACTTTGGTTTGCTCTATTCAACCATTTCATCTTGTTTGTAACGTTATAAACATAGGACACACTAAGGAGAAATTGAATCCCATATCTGAGCTCTGATTTGTGCTACTTGACAGAACAAACAAGCAAAGTATTGTAGGTTTTGCAAACCTGACAAAAAGCCTAGTGGATGGAAAAGAAAAAACAGTTTGGTGCTACTGTGTTCTGGCTCATTTTAAGTGCTCTTTAAAACTGTGCAAATATAGAAAAAAACTTCCAATCCCAAAGCCTAAAAAATACAGAATTAATACTGTTGGATAGACTTAAATTTACGGCTACTAAATATCTAGAAACTGTTAGTTTCATAACATGCCTGTAAAAAGTATTTTACAGGTACAGTTAAATTGCAAATTAAAGTAAAAAACTTTTAGAATACATGCACTTTATGTTCAAAAGCCCTAATGATGTCACCTGCAGTGAATTAAAATGGCCTTTTAATGGAGTTTGAAGAAAACATCTTCTCTTTTGAAGGTGAGCCCACCTGCAGTTGCGCCGTTGTAGTTCAGACTCAGTTTAGACTTAATTTACTTCACTCACATGCTGGGGTTGGATAGCAATGGAGGCTGAGATGCAAGAATGGGACTGTATGGGAATACTGATGTCCATCTTTTTTCCTTTAAAAGCTATTTGCCCCATTTTTATAATCATAAATGTGAGAACACTTAACCAAATCTTCTTTTTTTTTTTCTCCATTCTGCATACACAGAGGGCGTTTTCATCATGCTGGTGAATTTAACCAGGCTAACTTGAAGACTGTGTTCCTTCATTTCTACCAACATGTGGACTTTGCAACTCGGGGTGAAAACACTTAAGACCTGGTTTACTCTCCCCACCCCCACCTTGGTTCATCAGATCACCTCTCTGACATGCTAATGCCTTCATACAAGCCCCAGCTAATCAGGGCTAAACCGACAGATAAAGAGGTCAGAGTATGGTCTAAGGGTGCCGTGAAGAAACTCCAAGACTGTTTTGAATGCTCTGACTGGAATATCTTCAAGGCTGCAGCAACCTATGAAAACATATTAAATATAGATGAGTATGCCATGAAAGTGTCAGCATACATCAACAAATGCATTGTGGACATCAGCAACAAAAAGAACATCACCACCCGGGCAAACCAAGGACCCTTGATGAATGGGAAGGTCCGAAAATCGCTAAAAGCATGTAACTCAGCTTTCAAGTCTGGTAATAAAGACACACTGAGGACAGCGCATGCCAACTTGAACCGTGCCATCAGCCAGAAAATCCAGGATCTTTTCTATGACACCAGCAACACCAGGAGGATGTGGTAAAGGCATACGGGCAATCAGAGAATACAACACACTCTCCCCCCCTGGTAGATGCAGTAAATGTTGACTTGCCAAAACTAAACAACTTCTTTGGAAGATTCGGGCACTAAACAGCACTCCAGCAATTAAAGCTGTTCCAAAAAGGGGGTAGGAGGCACTCAAACTTGATATAGCTGAAGTGTGGAAGACTCTGAGAAGAGTCAACCCAAGAAAGGCCCCCAGGCCCGATAACATATCTGGGAAGGTGTATAAGGAGTGAGCAGATCAGCTGGCTGGTGTCCTCACAGACATTTTTAACACCTTGCTGGATCAATCCATAGTGCCGGCATGCTTCAAGTTTGCCACCATTATTTTGGTCGCAAAGAAGCCTCAGGCCACCTCACCCACTGACTACCGGCCTGTCGCACTGACTCCGTTCATGATGAAGTGCTTTGAAAGGCTGGTTAAAGAACACATTGTCTCCAGTCTCCCCAACATTCGACCCATTACATTTTGCCTTCCGACAGAACCGCTCCACTGAGGACGACATCTCCCACTTCTCACCTGAGCCTGGCACACCTGGAGAAGAACACCCACATGCGGATGCCGTTCTTGGACTTCAGTTCAGCTTTCAACACAATCATCCCACTGCATCTGATAGGAAAACTGAAACAGCTGGGCTTCAATACACCCCTCTGCTGATAATCTTCCTCACAAACAGGCCGCAGTCAGTCGGGATCGGACAGAACTTCTCTGATGTCATCATCCCAAGCACAGGCTCCCCTAATGGCTGCAACGTGAGCCCCCTGCTCTTCACTCTGATGATACATGATTGCATACCCCTGTTCACCAACAATCACATTGTGAAGCTCGCGGACCACACCACAGTAGTGGGCCTCATCAGAGACAACAATGACCAAGACTACAGAGAGGAGGTGGAGCAGCTGCTGGACTGGTGCAAAGATAACAGCCTGATTCTGAATGTGGAGGAAACGAAGAAGATCATCTTGGACTTCAGGAAGAACTGGCCTAACAATGCTCCACTGGTCATCAACAGCTCAGCAGTAGAGGTGGTCAGCAGCAGCAAACTCCTTGAGGTGCAAATAACAGACAACCTCACCTGGACTGTAAACACCACCCCACTGATCCAAAGGTCACAATAGCGCATGTACTTCCTAAAGAGAATGAGGAGAGCCCACTTGCCTCCACCAATCCTCACGACCTTCTACAGAAGCACAATAGAGAGCGTTCTGACCAGCTGTCTCACTGTGGGGCATTTTGTACATACCCTCTGTGTATAAAATTACAAAAAAAGTTTTTCTAAGTCTAAAACTCTAAGTCTAAAAATGTTTGAGAAGCTTTATAATAAGTCTTCCATAGTAGTTATATAATGTTATGCTATCTAACATTTCATTTGAGCAAATGTATTTAGAAGGCAAAAGATCTTTACATAACATTTTAACAGGTCAGCATACGGAGATTCTTCATCATTTTTGTTGCAAATGCTTGTAGACAACACCAAGGTTTTTGGTGATCTTTTATGCGATTTTAACTACTGCTCTGTCAGCAGACTTTGTGTAGGATCTAGGTCTATGAATTGACATGGTAATAGAAGAAGGTCGAGGTCGTGTCTGTCGAACCGGTTCTATAAATTATGAAACATGGTCATTACGACCATCTCAATAGTGACCAATGGATTTTAATCCAAAGGGTTCCCACAGCCTTTGGAGGAAGAATAGGCCTATAGCATCACCAGCTCTTTTTAAAATCACATGGTTCAAATTCAAATCTTAAATCTCCTAAACAACCTTTTGAAAATTTAAATACAAAATAACGGAAACTTGCTGACTCCCAATTAGCAATATTTTCGATATTTCTGTAAGAGTGAACTTTAGGGATGTCCCTTAACATCCTCCCAACTTTGTGTGGTGGTGAGGCAAATATAATGAATCTTTTAGCTTATTGTTTTTAGCCCAGGTAAACAGAAATTCATGGATTTTCTAAGTAATGGGTTTCACAAAACAGTGTATAAACTGTTAAATAATTTTATTAGTAATTTTAGAGAGCGGAATTTTTCATTTAATTTAAAATGATTGTTAAAGGTACCAAAGGTTATGATGCCTCCAAGTTTGAAGCCTCATACTGCGCAATAAAGCTGTATGCTGTTGAATACCTGATTAGACAGTTGACCCTTCAGTCTCACAAATTGGTTTGTTAATCAGGTCTTTTAGGATCCAGTTGATTGTTGATGCCTCCGCCTGAGTCTACTAGAGTCTCTTACAAAGTAAGGCTGAACTGTGTCAAACGCACTGAAGAAAGAAAAGAAAGTGATCCTAATAGTGTAGTCTGCCTTGTCTAAATGACTCTCTCAACTTCAGGCAAAATTTGGTCTCCATAAACAAAACCATTTTAGATACCTACAGGTCAGGACATATGTCAAAAAACACACGCACACTTTAGAGAATATAATAACGAATGAATGACAAACTCTTTAAGATGGGTGATGGGGAAGGTCATATAATCTCCCAGTTTTACAATGTGTTATTATCTAAATCCTTGCCATCCATGCAGGGCCTTAGAACTGGCTAGGAGCAGGAATTAAGAATAGAAATTAGTGACAAATGCTGGAAGGTTGCACAAGAGAATATTCACAGATGTCCTGCCAGTTTTAGACACTGTCTTATCTAATTTAAAATTATTCAACTCAAAATCATTCATAGGTTTAATTACTGTAAGGTGACATTACAAAGAATTTTAAGAATAAGAAGAATTCAACTTAAGGTCATCACACTGTCACAAGTACAAAGCAACGAAAATAACTCTTTGTATTTAACCCATGCCCTTGGGGAGCCGTGGGCATTGAACTAGAACATATAAAATATATGTTCTTGTTGTGAAAAGGTAGAACTTGGAAACCTGTCAGTTTAAGAGTGGTTATAAAAAAGTCAGCAGGCATTTTGTATGGATTGAATCCAATAACCGAGATTTGTTCTGTGTGTTGTTTAAGGTCACAGGGATTTAAATGAGAATGATCCATTCTGGTCAGAGGAGAAGTGGCACAGAGCTGAGCAAAGCATTTGTTACTAAAAATCGTGGT